ATGGCAGTGAACAAAATAAAGTCCTCATGGATCTCATATTCCAGTGGGGGGACTCTGGGAGATTGCCTCCATAATAGGCACTCGAGATCTAGTCGTCATAACGAAAAATTTTGAAAATCAGGCAAATGAAAGAGTCTTCTTAAACCACTGTCTAAGCACAGCATTGGGAACATCGCTCTGACTCATTTTTCTTTAAATGACAAATATGGCAGTGACTAATGCAACGAGAGCAGCAGACTGGCCGCTCTGACTGTGGATCCTGTGGTCTTTAGTAAATGACCATCCTCCTAACTGGTGGAAAACATCTTCCCTTATACATGGAGATTTAACCTCATATTCAAACAATCCTCTGGGGTAGGGAGCGAATGAGTAACATCCCATTTAATTAGATGTTAGGGAAAAGCTGCAGATTAAAGATTTTTAAATACATCTTAAGATACCTTCACATTCGTAAGCTATTTCCCTCACTTACAAACCCTGTCTTTTTTATATTAGAAGAGGAAAATTGACGTATTCCCTCTTTTCCTAAAATGTGCCTGTTAGATAACTTCTTAAACCACTTTTACTCATGGATAACACAATGCATTTGTCACTATTTTCTACACAAGGACTGAGGATGATGAAATTATTATAAGAAATGTATACAGTTTGAAATAACTGTGTTCTCCTCGTCACTTCCCCCATTTAAATTAGCTCTCTCTTTTAAACATCTTTCTAGATGTATAAATATCTGTATTTTTGCCTTTGCTGATGAACTTCCTCATGAATTTCCACGATCTTCAGAACGCAATGCCCCTTGACCTTCCGCAAACCTAAAAAGCTCTTCTACCTCTGAGGAGTGAATTTCAAGGATTGCTTATTTTGCTTATTTTTTGCTTAACTGCTTATTTCCCGAGCTCTTCACATCTCCATAAAGCTGCCTTGCAGGTGACTCAGCCCACACATGCCCACTTTCCCGACCTGCTGCAGACCCGCCCCTCCCACCGTGGGAGGGACACGGCTCGCATCTGCCGTTTGGACAGATGTTCAAGCCACAAATCCGGCATCATCCTTGCTTCCCTCCCTCTCTTCTGACTCATACTCAGTCTATTTCTATCTCTTGTTGATTATTCCTCCTACATGTCTCACTCTGCTGTCTTTGCCCCAGCCCTACTACCCTTCCCCTGGCTCTAATCCTGGTGCTGACTCTCATAATTTTCACCTGGATCACTGCTTTACGATCTGTCACTAGTTCACCCATATTCCCATGTCAATCCAGCAGATGGAGTGATTTTATTAAAATGTCAACCTGGGCACCGGCCTGGTGGCACAGTGGTTAAGTTTGTGCGCTCCACTTCAGTCCCTGGGGTTCACAGGTTCGGATCCCTGGCACAGACCTACACCACTCATCAAGCCATGCTGTGGCAGCATCCCCCATACCAAATGGAGGAAGATGGGCACAGATGTTAGCTCAGGGCCACTCTTCCTCAGGCAAAAGAGAGGAAGATTGGCGACAGGTGTTAGCTCAAGGCCAATCTTCCTCACCACACACACACAAAAAAGTCAATCTGACCATGTTACTGTCTAATTGACAATACTGAATGTCCTTTCATTGCCAAAAGGGCCAAGAACTAATCCCTCCATGTGGCCTCCGGGCCCTTCATGACCTGGCCCTGCCTACCTCTCAAGCATCATCTCTCATCACCCTCCTCACAGTCAAGCTGTATCCAAATGTGCAGATTTCCTTGACGCCACCATACTTTTAAACCCCTGTGTCTGTTTCCTTGGCTCACCGCATACCCCTTCTCCTTCTCGTGGAAGACGAGGTCTTCCCTGACTTGCCGAGCCAGGTTAGAAATCCATTTTCCTTGTTTCCCATAGGAGGAGGGACCATATCTGTTTTGTTCATTCCAGCATCCCCATCACCAAGCACAAGGAAGTCAGAATAAATATTTCTTAACTAAATTAGTGTGATTCTAACTGAAAACTCACTATTGAAAAGAACTGAGAATGAACATAATTATTAGGAAACATAAGAAACTTTTTTTTTTCCTAAAGGCACAACTGCTCACATTTGATCTCTGGCAAATATCTGTAACATCCCGGAGTTTAAACCCTGAAGGTTAAGACTGTGGTCAGATTCGTACCTCATCAGACCTACAGTCCTGGCTGGTGTTGAGCTGCCCACGTTGACATCTGGGCTGACTCATTTTAATTTGACCGTTTGAGGTTAGCTTCCACAGCTGCTGTAACACTGTACTGTCAATCATTTGCCTTTTAAATCAGAGTTTAACTGATTTGGAGGAAGAAAACAACCACCTTCAGAAGACTTACTTTTCAATCTTTAGCAGAAAACAACTAGCATTCTTCCCCATAGATGTCCACTTACAGCTCTCTCAGATTGTGTATATTCTTTACAAGAAAATAAAAACAGTGAGTGGGACTTGAAGCTATATACTCCTAAGTTTTTAACTTGTCCTCAGTAGATAAAACTTGAACGTATGGTCTTTGAAAATGAAAACTGAGTTTTCTCCAAACGCTGAAAACTAGGATAAACCATTTAAGCCTCACTCCATTCATTCTACAAATGTTCACCAGACGCTTCCACCTTGTGAGGAGTACTGTGGTAGAATTATATTTTGATGTGTTTTATAATGTGCTTTGATCCTCTGCTTCTTGTTACCCTGTGACCTTTCAGACAACAGCTGGGCATTCTACTTGTGTGTGTCAAAGAAGGGTTTTTACGGAAGAACACAGGAGAAAAAAAAAATCCTAGGCTTTTAAGATTCAAATCCTAAACCCTGAAAGACTTGGGGCATAACATTTTTAAAAACCATGTAATCTGTTGGAATGTTTTTTCTACCACCAGATTAGATAAAGAATCTATGCGAAGAGAAAAGAGGAGGAGCAGAGAAGAGGGGAGAGGAATGAAGGGGAAGGAGAAGAGAAGGGAGGGAGGAGAGAAAGGGAGAGGAAAGAAGGGGAAGGGGCAAAGAGGAGGGGAAGGGCAAGCCAGAGAAAAGCAAAAGAATGAGGTGCTGCGAGATTCGCCATGCGGGGCCCTGTCCTAGGCCTCCCTGGACTCTTTCCAGCTGCAGAGAAAGTCGGAACCTCCCGAGAGATTTGGGCATCTAAGACTAAATGAGAACCCATCCCATCTTTCCTTGGTATGTGAAAAGCAACAAGGCACCAGAGTTTTCCTGTGCTCATCATTGTATCAGCTAAGATCTAATGAGGAAAACGGAAACAACTCTGTTTATAACCGAGGAAATTTAATCGTGACAAGGAGTTGGCAACATAGGTGGTAGAGAAACTGAGAAGCCAGATGGGATAATGACACAATCCGGAGATTAGCAGCAGCAGGAAGCCACTCTCCCCCCTCCACCCCCCCACACTGGAAGGACAATAGGAAGAGATGGTGTTACTGGAGCCCAGGGGCCAAGGTCACTGGAGGGAGCTGGAACCGCAGCAGGCCCGACTAGAGGGAGTAGATCACAAAGGAAATGCAGCTGATGAGGATGATGCAAAGAAAGGTGGAGGAAAATCCTGGCCTCTCCCTTCTTCTGATCCTCCAATTGCTCACAAATTCCTCACAAGCACCAAACCCAGCTGGAATCTTGCTGACGTGAGTCAGCCACTCTGTGGCAGAGTGAGGGAAGGGTGAGGCTGGGGTCTGAGGGCAAATGCACCTAGGTGTGAGAGCAGGGAAATGTCTGCGGGAGATGTCTAGGACTAGGGACCTAAGACAATCTCATAGAGTCCCCTTGCCCCAGGATGACCGACAGGGGGCCAGAGCAAGGCACATATGACAAGGTAGCCTGAAGAGTTGAAGGGGCCTTGGAGCTGGGACAAGGAGGACATATTAGGGATCCACCTGGACAGGAAGCCAAAATTCAAATGGGCCCACAGATGTCTCAGTGGATTCAGGCTGGACAGAAGACAGCACTGAGAAGACCAGACTTGACTCCACCGAGTTGACCACATGTAACTGCCCCCACCCAACTCTTACACCACACTTAGCTGACACTTCAAGGAAGGGAAGAGGCGACCATCTAGCAGAACGGAGGCTGAATCTCAGTTCACTCTTAGTTAAAGAAAGGAAAGAGCCTAGACTAATGAACAGACACAGGCCTTCATCTAAAAGATCCCACTGAATGTTTGAAGGGGACGGACACATACCACGATGTCAGTAATGCAGTGAGAAACCGAGAGAAACAGGTCATGTTAAAGGATGCAGTGGGGCTGGAGACGCACATAGGGAAGTTCTGGTACTTGCCTATAAGGCAGGGCTTCTCAGAGAAGGCCTCAAAGAGAGGCGATATTTGATGAGCTTGAGGGATGAGTGGGGATTTAGCAAGCAGGTGGGGGAAGACCCTCACCTCTGTTGTCTTATTCTGTCCCTCCTAATGCTCTGATTTTCAAGTAAAGCGAGTACATTCCTTATCTGACTACATTCCCTTAAAGTCTTTCAGAAACGTGGCAAATCTCTCAGGGTTTACCTTCCTTTTCACTAGTAAATGGGGCAGGTGTGACCTGAGTTTCAACTCTGATGAGTAGCATCAGCAGCTTGCAGGAAATGAGTTCCTTAAAATGTATCCTTTCATAGACTTGAAGAGGCCATTTCTAGACTTTAGGTTTTGAACTGAAGACTTAGATCTCAAGGCACTCAAACAGTCTTTAGAATGTGCACTCCACAAGGAAAATATACTTAAGCCATCTAAAATATATTACCTCCTCACTGACCAAACTTCTGTAATGAAACGTATTTCAGATCTATCATGTCAAGACTTTCCTCAAAATACTGTATTTTGCCATTTTTTAAACAGAGAAACAAGACCATTGATTTACAAATAACCTCATCTATCATTATTCCAGAAACAATATTCCTAAACTTGCCTTTTATAATCTAATAATTTAAGAAATAAAAATAATTGTTGTTCTCTCCATTGTTTACAAATGGAAAACGACTATATAACAGGAAACAAGAAGAGTCATTGGACCGTTTTAAATATCTTTTTTACCTCATCAGAGATGTCTGTTCCAGAGAGGTCTATTGATAGCAAGGAAAAGATGTTTACAATATATGCAATTCCTATGTCAGTCAAATGTGTACAATTTCGTAGGCTCAAGTAGTGTAAATTAGGGCAGCTGAAAGAAAAGAGCATGGAGAATTAATTTTATCTTGTAATCATACTGTCAGTAGCAATTTCTTCATATGAAAACTATCTGGGGAGAGCTAGCCCTGATGACCTAGTGGTTAAAGTTTGGTGCACTCGACTTCAGCATCCACAAGTTTGGTTCCCCAGGCACGGAACCACACCACTCATCTGTCAGTAGCCATGCTGTGGCAGTGACTCACATAGAAGAACTAGAAGGATCTACAACTATGTACTGGGGCTTTGGGAAGGGAAAAAAGGGAGACAGAGGAAGATTGGCAACAGATGTTAGCTCAGGGCGAACCCTCCCCAGCAAAAAACAAACAAACAAACAACAACAACAAAAATATCTGGGGAAAGCAATGATGTTTAAGCAAGGATTTTCCTTTTCTTGACATAAAAGTAAGCTTAAAAGTAGAAAATAAATTGGCATTACAAAGTTGGATGAAAGGGAAGTGTGTTATTATATAAGACATTCTGTGATTTCATTTCGTACTGTGATTTCTAATAAGAAAAACATATCACATGCATACAAAATACTATTATTGTAAGTACCTAGACGATTGAGTACTAAAATACAAGGTTAACGTTCTCACTTATCCCTACCGGAATTGGGCTTGAATCCTTAGTGTACACGAGAACTCTGACAAGTCAGGAGGATTAAGAATAAACCCACCAGCTAGAACAGCCCTTGGGAAATGCTGGAGTAAAGGTTTACATAGAGATAATATCCTTGAAAAGTACAGAGAAGTCACCCATATCTCGATATTCATAACTTTGTGAGTGACTCCATCTCAAACTTTCTCTACAGTGAAATTAATAAGAAACATCTCAGATTTAATCAAATGGTTAGTTCAATCTGTGATTCCAATGTCTTTTATTTGGTTTCACAGGGTATTGGACCAGTGTCTGGTCCAAAACATTCCTGATGTTTTCCAAATGGCTTTGGATCAGACCAAAAGGTCTATCTCTGATCTCTTCCATTAGCAATTGTAGAATTACTAATGATATGGTGTAAAATATTATCATTTTATCATACCGTTCTGCTAGTTTCACCATGGAGGCATCACCCAAGTGGACACAGTTATTTAAATTTAGCTCTCTTATCCTTATGCTCACAGGGCCGTCAAGAAATTGCCTTAGTCCTACATCACCAATTCTGTAGGAAAGAGCAAGAAAACTTTACATATGATTTTATATATAAATACATTGAATATTATTAAAACAATATTATACCCAATACAAAATAATACACCCAATACATTCCAAAATAGCAAGGCAATATCTATATACTAGTGTTTTCTCAACACTTTAAAACCAAATTTGATTATATAGCTTTTAGTGTAATAGAAAAAGTATAAACGATAGTAAGGGGAGAAGTATTAATAAAAGTGTTATTCCTTCCTGAAATTTTTATTGAGCTACAAAGACCCCAAAGATCCAAACCAATTTCGAGAAAAAAGAACAAAGCTGGAGACATCATGCTTTCTGGTTTCAAACTACATGATGAAGCTATAGTAGTCAAAACAGAATGGTATTGGCATAAATATAGACACATAGATCAATGGAACAGAATAGACAGCCCAGAAATCAACCCACACATATACGGTCAATTAATTTTTGACAAAGGAGCCAAGAATGTACAGTGGGGAAAGGACAATCTCTTCAACAAATGGTGTTGGGAAAACTGGACAACCACATGCAAAAGAATGAAACTGGAGCACTACCTTACACCATGCACAAAAAGTAACTCAAATGGATTAAAGACTTGAATTTAAGATCTGAAATCATAAACTCCTAGAAAAAAACCTAGGTAGTAAGCTCCTTCACATTGATCTTGGCAATGATTTTTTGGATCTGACACCAAAAGCAAAGGCAATATAAGCAAAAATAAACAAGTGGGACTATATCAAACTAAAAGCTTCTGCATAGCAAAGGAAACCATCAACAAAATGGAAAGGCAACCTATTAAATGGGAGAAAATATTTGCAAACCATGTATCTGTTAAGGGTTAATATCTAAAATATATAAAGAACTCATACAACTCAACAGCAAAAAAACACAAACAATCCAATTAAAAATAGGCACAGGATCTGAACAGATATTTTTCCAAAGAACATACACATGGCTAAGAGGCACATGAAAAGATGCTCAACATCACTAATCATCAGGGAAATTCAAATCAAAACCACAATGAGATATCACCTCACACCTGTTAGAATAGCTATTATCAAAAAGCTATGAGATAACAAATGCTGGCAAGGATGTAGAGAGAAGGGAGTCCTCGTGCTCTGTTGGTGGGAATGTAAACTGGAGCAGCTACTACGAAAAACAGTAGGGAGGTTCCTCAAAAGAGTCAAACAACTACCACATGATCCAGCAATTCCACTTATGGGTATTTATTCAAAGAAAACGAAAACACTAACTCAAAAAGATATATGCAGCCCCATGTTTATTGCAGCACTATTTACAATAGCCAAGATATGGAAGCAACCTAAGTGTCCATGGATGGAAAAATGGATAACGAAAATGTGGTATATAAATACCTTGAGGACATTGTGCTAAGTGAAATGTGTCAGACAAAGACAAATACCAAAAGACCTCACTTAAACGTGAAATCTAAAACAACCCGCAAGTTCATCGATGCAGAGAACAGACTGGTAGTTGCTACATGGCAAGGGGGTGGGGGTTGGGCGAAATGGGTGAAGGAAGTCAAAAGGCACAAACTTCCAGTTATAAAATAAATAAGTTCATGGGGATATAATGTACAGCATGGCAACTATAGTTAGTAATACAGGCATGCCTCACACACATATGTGAGCATGTATGTGTATATATATGTGTATATATGTATATAAATTTACATTATAATCCAAGAGTCATCAAAAGTCAATAGAAAAGGATTATTCAGATAATGATCCAAGTTAATTGGTTAATGCAGTTAGTCCCACACCAGGCTGTGCCTCAAAAGCATCCATGTTGTTTTTTAAAAAATACGCGAGCTGGGTTTCCATGCCGAAATATTCAGATTCAATAGCTCTGGGGTGGGGCTTGGGCATACGTAGTTTTATTCAGCTCCTTGGGTGATTCTGATGTCCTGAATTTTTACTTTTAAATCATATGTGTATTTTTAACTTACCTTTTTGTTACTGATTCCTAATTTAATTGCCTTGTAGTGAGAGAATGTAATTTAAGAGAATATGATATAACACCAATAGTTTGAAAGTTGTGAGAACTTGCTTTAAAATTTCATAGACAGTCCATTTTTAAAAGATTAATGTGTGGTTGAGAAAAATTTATATTCTTTGAGCCAGCCCTGATGGCCTAGTAGTTCAAGTTTGGCACACTCCACTTTGGTGGCCCGGATTCAGCTCCCCAGCACAGAACCAGACCACTCATCTGTCAGTAGCCATGCTGTGGCAGCAGCTTACATAGAAGAAGTAGAAGGACCTGCAACTAGAATACACAACTATGTCCTGGGGCTTTGGGGAGGGAAAAAAAAAGAGGAAGATTGGCAACAGATGTTAGCTCCGGGCAAATCTTTAACAAAAAAAGAAAAGAAAAAGGTATATCGTTTGACTCTCAAACTTACTGTCTTATAGATGAATTTTACAAATCTAATCTGATACTCTGATATTAAACCTTCTCTATCTTTTCACCCTATTTTATAGTCTCATACTTTTCATCTTTTTTTAACTCTGCTATCATTTCTTCAGTTATCTTCCAGCTCTGTACTTCTCTCTTCAGTGAGTTCTAATCTGCTGATTAGCAATCCATTGAGTTTCTTTATTTCGATAACTATATTTTTTATTTCTAAAAATTAGTTTTTTTCAAATAAATCTACTTTTTTTTTTTTGAGGAAAATTAGCCCTGAGCTAACTACTGCCAATCCTCCTCTTTTTGCTGAGGAAGACTGGCCCTGAGCTAACATCCATGCCCATCTTCCTCTACTTTATACACGGGACACCTACCACAGCATGGCTTTTGCCAAGCAGTACCATGTCTGCCCCTGGGATCTGAACTGGCAAACCCTGGGCCGCCGAGAAGCAGAATGTGCAAACTTAACCACTGTGACACTGGCCTGGCCCCAATCTACTTGTTTTTATCATAGTTTGTTGCCTGCTCATATTTCTGATTCCATTATTTATTTTTTCAAACATCTCATACATAGTTACTTAATATTCTAAATCTGATCATTCTGATATCTGAATTATTTGAGAGTCAAATTTATTTTGCTGTCTCTGGTGACTCTTTCTCATGGGGACTCACATCTTTGTCCCTCTGACAGTTGTTAATGGTGAGCACCTATTTATTTGATCTTAATCCCTGGGAAGCGGGAGGCCTAAATAGAAGATGTTTCCCTCCAGAGAAGCTTTGAGCTAACTTCTTCCAGGAGGCTGGCTGCTACCTACCGGAGACCAGCTTCTCCTCTTTGAGGAGGTCCAGACCCTGCAGAAGTGTCAGGTTCGCTTTCCTGTCTTGAGTCTTGCTGGGATCTGATTCTCTCAATGGCAATGCTGAAGTGAACATTGATGCTCAGGGCCTTTCCCCTTTTACAAACGTTTGCTTGCTAGCCACAGTTCATCTCAGAGCGTCGGTCCACTGAGAGCATGGATATTGGATACTTCTCTTACTCTCTGTGGACTCAGCAAGGGATTGAAAGTATGTTTCATCAGGAGCTAAATTGTTTGTGGCAAGGAATGCTTTGAAGTGTTTTGTCAATTATACTGCTGGAAGCAGGAAACCTCTATTTATTTTAAAATTAGTTAACCTGCAGAAGCCTGAGTGAAATATAAGAATTAAATTTAATTTTATTTCACATATTAATACAGATAGGATTAGCTGTGTTATACATATACACACACGTATATATATATATATATATATATATATATATATACACACACACACACATACACACATACACACTGTGTGTATGCCTGTTCTGTATTACTATGTAACAAATTATCCCAAATGTTGTGGCTTAAATGACAAATACTTATAATGTCCCAGTTTCTGGGTCTCAGGAATTTGGGAGTGGACTGTCTAGCCCAAAGTCTCTCTGAGCTTGCAGTCGAGAGGCCGGCGGGGGCTTTAGCCATCTGAGGGTTCGACTGACGCTGAAGGCCTGCTTTCAAGCTCGTTCACATGGCTGTTCGCAGGAGGCCTCATTTCCCAATCAGGCTTTTCCCATTTCAAATCCTATGTCCCTCCCCACCCCCACCCCAACCCATGGTGCCTCCTCATTTTAATAATAGAGAACATGGGTTAAGATTTTGTGAAAGTTAGCTCTCTACTCTGACTTGTATTTTCACAAAAATCAGCCAACTTCACCGTGGATCAAATGCTGTTTTGTTAGCATCTGACCCTATAAGATGATAAGAAGCCTACACAGGCAAGAGGCTGAGATATCCATTGGGGAAGACGTTTCAGTAAGAATTTGATCCTTGACCCCCTGAGAATAGCAGGATAGAAGCCCAATAGTGGTCCAGCTGAAAAAAGGGTTTCAGTGAGAACTCACCCGCTGCCCACCTTTTAGCAAATCCACACAGAGGGAAAAATCTAACCAGTACCCAGGGGGGACGCCCGTCAGTAAGATCAGTTCCTCAGAAGCAAGTCAGAAAGTCCGTTTGGAAGAAGGAAGACCTGTCAAGTGAGCGAGCTGTGAGAATCCTCAGGGGAGAGGGAGCCCATAGTGCTCCTGTGAGTCCTTTAATCTCACAAGGGCCTCGAGGCCACATGTCCTGCGCTTTCTCTGACAGTCTCTCTGCACCTCGTACAGCCAGTCTGGGTTGGGCGTCCCTCCTTTGTGCTACCACAGAACTCTGCCATTTCCTCCACGTTAACACTTAACTCCTGACTTTCACGTTTACTCCACTAACCGGTGAGCTCCTTGAGGAGAGGGCCTGGCACATCCTAGACGATCGGTGTGGTCTGAAGATTTGACTGAATGATTCATTACCTTACACAGTTCGCCAGATTCAGCACGGTCAGCTGCTTCAAAGGTGAAAGCGACCTGAGGCTCCCGTCTGTTATTCCCTTGCAGTCCGCCATGTAAATGTGACTAATATTTGGGTAATTCTTGTCTATAAATTTGAAGCATGCGTCAGTAATCCTTTTATTTCCTGCTTAAAAAAAAAAAAAAGAAAGGACAAGTGTTTTATTTGTGATCCCACAAGAGTAAAAGTAAAAATTAACGCTGAACCACATTTTTTACATCACAGACCTTCAAATCGGATCTTTCTGAGGTTACAGGAAGAAAGAGCTTTGAAAGCACAATCGGAGATGTGTGGCGCACCCATGAAAACTATCGATGAGAGACGAGGGCATCTTTCAACTAAAGCCTTTAGAAGGAGGAAAGATCATTAAATTAACTGCCGTGAGTTGAACAAGCTTAGCAAAGCAGTGAAGTCACTTTTTTCTCTCAATATTTTCAGAAACAGAGACATTAACTTTTAAATTTTCCTAATTCCAAAGAATGGAACCTCTTTCAATATATTTTGGTACACTCACATTTGAGTAATGCACAGGAATCAGAATTAAAACATGTTATAAAAGCATGGGAAAACATGAGAAAATGGAACGCTGAAAAAAATCACTACATTTAGAAGCTTGACGTGTTGAACTAAACTTCAAGTTTATGCTTAGGCTACGATATCATGCAACAGACTCATCCTAACTGTGAAACAAAGTTCCTTAGGGTATTTCAGGATTCAAACGTTCAAGGGTGTGTGTGTGTGTGTGTGTGTGTGTGTGTGTGTGTGTGTAAACTTTTAAATGATTTTCTTACTATAAAAAAACAGCTATAATGAAAAGCTCGTTGATATTTTTCAATAATTCAAGCCACTGGAAAACGTGCCCATCTAATGGGACTGAGAAGAAAAGGTTCTTTCCCACTACCTACTTTTATGCAGTTGTCCGTCAGAGTTGGCATGTCGTTCACGGTCAGATGCATTATTCCAGTGCAGCTGTTTGCAACATTCCTGAAGCCTTGGACTGAAATCTGAATTGTACAAAGTAGATGAAAATGACGGGAGAACCCATTAGCATGACATCTAATAGAACCCTAACGTAGTAATATCCAAAGGTATGTCCGGATTTTGCCACTGTCTTTTAAAACTGAAACTATAAAATATAACAAAGAGGGAAAGAATCTAGTCTTGATTTCTTTCTTTCTTATTTAACTTTTTATATGTATAGATGGTGAAATGATCACCACAATGAAGTCTAGTTAATTTATTATTTAGTTTTTTATTGTGGGAAAATTCACACAACATAAAATTAATCACTTAAGCCATTTGACTGTTCGTAATTTTGTGCAACCTCAAGCTTTATCTAGTTCCAAAAGATTTTTATCCCCTTGATAGGAAACACTGTACCTATTAAGCAGTTGTCCCCTATACTCACCTTCTCCCAGCCCCTGGCAATCAGTAATCTGCGTTCTGTCTCTAAGGATTTACCTATTCTAAATATTTCATGTAAGAGGAATTATACAACATGTGGTCTTTTGTGTCTAGCTTCTTTCACTTAGCATGTTTGTTTGAGATTCATCCACGGTGTAGCATGAATCAGTACTTTATCCATTTTTATGGCTAAATAATATTCTCTTGTGTGAATGTATTAGATCTTGTTTATATATTCATCCATTGATTGATATTTGAGTTGTTTCCATCTTTTGGATATTTTGAATAATGCTGCTATGAATAGGCATGTACATCTATTTGTTTGAGTACCAGTTTTCAATTCTTTGGGGTATCTATCTAGGAATGGAATTTCTGGGTCATATGATAATTCTATCTTTAACTCTTTAAGAAACCACCAAAATGTTTTCTACACTGGCTGCACCATTTTACATTCCCACCAGCAATCTATGAAGGCTCTGATTTCTCCACATCTTTGCCAACACTTATTTTACATATTTTCCTCTTTGAAAAAAATTTCCTAGTGAATTTGAAGTGGTACCTCATTATGATTTTGAGGTGCACCTACTGACTAATGATATTGAGCATCTTTTCATATACTTATCAGTCATTTGTACATCTTCTTTGAGGAAATGTCTATTCAAGTCCTTTGCCTATTTTTTAACTGGGTTATTTATCTTTTGTTGTTGAGTTGTAAGTATTCCTTATATATTCTGAATACTAGATCCTTAGGTATATGATTTGCAAATACTTTTTCCCATTCTTTAGGTGCTCTTTTTACTTTTTTAATAATATCCTTTGATGCACAAGCTTTTAATTTTGATAAAGTCCAACTTACCTATTTTTTCTTTTTCTGCTCATGCTTTTGGTGTCGTATCTAAGAATCGATTGTCAAATCCAAGGTCATGAAGATTTACCCTCAGTGTTTTCTTCTAAATTGTATCATTTAAGCTCCTATATTTAGGTCATTCGCCCGTTTTAAGTTAATTTTTTAAATGGCATGAGGTAGAGGTTCCACTTCAATTTTGGTGCAGATATCCAGTTGCCCAGCACCAGTTGTTGAAGAGAGTATTCTTTCCCCCATTGAATGCTCTTGCCATTATTGTCAAAAATCAATTGGCCCTAAAAAGTATAGGTTTATTTCTGGACTCTCAACTCTATTTGATTGATCTATATGTCTATCCTTATGCCAGTACCACACTGTTTTGATTACTGTAGCTTTGTAGTACTGATTTCTTTCTTTCAACTGTCATTATCCCCATTAATGGAAGCAGCAATTGTGGAGAATGTTCAAAATAATGACTGATCGAAAGATCAAATACATTTGCCTATGGTGAATTACCTTAAAATGACTTATTCTTTAGGCTCCATTTCCAGTAACAAATGGACTCGGGTGGAAAAACAGATGATGCTCAGATTCAGTAATGGGAAACTGAGACTCTGCCCAGGAACAGACAGCAGAGGGAACTCTCCCCCAGAGTGATCTCCGCAACAGCCTAACACGGAGAATGAGGAACGGCAGCTACAGAGGATCTCTCGGGAGACCCTGGAGACTTCTTATTTCACTAATGGTGACTTCTGAGGTTCTGTCATTAGAGTCTCCACTTATTTGAAAAGGACTAGCCAAAAGTTAGGGAACTGAGAGCAACATCCTCAAAACAACAGGAGCCCATCTCAAATGTCACGTCCTCAGTGTCCCTGACCCTTAGATTAGGCCAAGTTCTTGTTATACACCTGCAGCACCATGTAAGTGTAAGTATCGTAAATATAATGAAATTGATCTTATGATTAATTGTTGAACTAACTTTCCTGTACCCCAGGTCCCAGCAGGGTGCCTATAACATGAGCTGAGCAGATATTCAAGTAATATTATTACATGAATAAACGGAAGAATGTATGGGTGAATTATGAGAACCACATGTATTGGGTAGATTCTACTGCCCAGCAGATACTGACGATGTGAGCACCCGGTCAAAGGCCAGGAGAAGCCCTTGAAAGCAGGAGCTGAGCAGGCAAGCTTGAGTCACTGCAGAAGCCAACCCCTTGGATGGAAGTATGTTTGGTGCTACGATCCGAATGTCTGTGTGCCCCTCAAATCTATATCCTAAACCCCCAACGTGATGGTATTAGGAGGTGGATTGTCTGGGAGGTAATTAGGTCATGAAGTAGAGCCTAATCAAGGAGGCCCCAGAGAGATCTCTTGCCCTTTCCACCATGTGAGGTTACAGCAAGAAGGCACTGTGGGGAACCAGGGAGCAGACACTCCCCAGACACTGAATCTGCTGGCGCCATGGTCTTGGACTTCCCAGCCTCTAGAAATGTGAGATATAAATGTCTGTTGTTTACAAGCTACTCAGTCTGTGATATTTTGGACCAAGACACTTGGATAATTTTTCTAAAGAGCTTTTGGGAAATACATTTCTAAAGCCTGAACAAGTATCTATTTTGGCCCAGGAATTTCTTTGACAAAATTATCCTAGGGAAATAGAGTTCAACACAGAGATTTGTATAGAAGAATGTTCCTTTCAAAATTACATAATGTTGACAAACTGACACCAAACTAAAATTCCAACAATTAGAAATGGGTTAACTAAACTATGGTGATTCCTATGATGGAATATAATACAGTTATTACAAATAATTTTAGGAGAACAACTGAGACCATGCTATAGTTTAAAAGAAAAAGTTGGTCATATAAAGCCTTGTTCAAAGTGTGGTCTGTAGACCAGCAACCTCGGCACTACCTGGGAGCCCACTAGAGATGCTGACTCTCAACCCACCTCCTACAGGCTCAGAGGCTGCACTTGAACAAGATTCCCAGGCGATTCGCACACACGTTATAGTTTGAGAAGTGCTAATCCAGAGGAAACAAGTGAACAAAGAATGGAAAGTGTATCAGTCAGGGTTCTCCAGAGAAACAGAACCAACAGGATATAGAGAGAGAGAGATTTATTTCAAGGAATCGACTCATGTGATTGTGAGGCTGGCAAGTCCAAAAGCTGTAGAGCAGACTGGCAGGCTGGAAATTCGAGGCAGAGTTGGTGTTGCAGTCTTTTGTGTCTGAAATGTGCAGGCTGGAACTCAGGCAGGGTTTCTATGTCACAGTATTGACGCAGAATTGTTTCCTCTTTGGGGAACCTCACTTTTGGTTCCTAAAGCCTTCAACTTATTACATGAAGCCCACCCACATTATGGAGGGTAGTCTGCTTTACTCAAAGCCTACTGATTTCAGTGTTTATCGTATCTGAAAACATACCTTTACAGCAACATCTAGACAGGTGTTTGACAAACAACTGAGCATCATATCCTAGTCAAGTTGACACATAAAATTAACCATCATAGTAGGAAATACACCAAAATATTAACAGTGATCATCTCTGAAGACTCGATAATTTCTGCGTTTTTCAAACTTTCTACAATAATCATGTATAATCAGAAAAAGAGAAACAGAAAAAGGCGTCTTTTGCGAAAAGGCAGCATAAGGAAGTCCTTGGGCAGCTTTTGAATCATCTGCTATGGATCTCTCCTTGCTGGGAGCTACCAGCTACAGGTTGGAGGGACCCTGCATTTGGCTCTTTAACTACAGTGCCTTCCTCTTCCCTGTAGACATGAGTTGGACCCTCCTATTTAGAACTGTGCCTTTTCACCTTTGTCTTAAGACCTGGACAAATCAGCCTGGCTCACCAAGTTCTTGCCTGACCCTTAATATTGACCCCTGTGTGGTGCATTCTGGCAACCTAGAGCTTCTAAACCTAAGCAAGTTCCCCTAAGACAAAAGATCTAGATGTTTCTTTCACATTGACAGTGCAGGAAGGAGTTCGTAGCAGTGGCATCTAGGCATTCGTCCACCTGGGGGTATAGTGCAGAATACCAGTCTCCCACAGGTGAAGCATAATGCCAGTCTATGACCCAGAGGCCTCAGTCCAATCTCCGCTTCAGAGCATTTGTGGATCTCCTAACATCCCACTAGGGCATCTACAGAAACACAGAACATGAATGCTCACCACACAATCAAACACTAAAATTGGTAGTTTACCCAATGCCAGAGTATATGAATGCTATTCTTTACCTGCAAAGCTTACAGAACTGGATTGAGAAAAGCAGCTAGGTCAAGGTGTGGGAGGCAGGCCTCCTCACACACTGCTAGCTGGGAGTGGAAGCTGTGACATCTTGTCTGGAATGCAAACAGGCAATAGCCATCAAATGCTTAAAAAATGTTTACTCTTTCGCCCAGTAATTCCTCACTAGAAATCTATCATCATCATTACCAACAGATATTGAGCATCTTCTATGTGACAAGCATTGTTCTAAGGGCTCTTCATGTATAATGTCTCATTACATCCCCACAATATATTTTTTTCATAAGGAAATAAAGATTCATGTAGAAGATATTTTATTGTACGATTTATTACAATAAAAGAGGATTGGAAACTAAGATGTCTCTTAAAATTAGGACTTCAAACTATATTTAGTGACATAGAAAAATGCTCACAATGTAATATTGTGTAAAAATCAGGATTTGAAATTGACTATATATATTATTATGATCTTGATTGTGTTTTTAAGAGTATGTGTATCACGT